TGCACTCCACAAATCTAGCCTTTATGGAAGAGTAGCAAGAAAAAAGCCATTGTTGAAAGAAAGCCATAAGAAGTCCCGCTTGCAGTTTGCGAGAAGCCATGTGGGGGACACAGAAAACATGTGGAAGAAGGTGCTCTGGTCAGATGAGACAAAAATTTAACTTTTTGGCCTAAAAGCAAAATGCTATGTGTGGCGGAAAACAAACACTGCACATCACTCTGAACACACCATCCCCACCATGAAACATTATGGTGGCAACATCTTGTTGTGGGGATGCTTTTCTTCAGCAAGGACAGGGAAGCTGGTCAGAGTTGATGGGAAAATGGATGGAGCCAAATACAGGGAGAACTTGCAAAATCGCAGGGTATTCAAATACTTCTGTTCCTCATTGTAGCTAAAAAGATTTGCAGCTGTAATTGCAGCAAAAGGTGGTTTCTACAAAGTATTGACTCAGGGGAGCTAAACACAAATGCACGCTACACTTTTCAGATATTTGTAAAAAGTTTTGAAAACCATTTATCATTCTCCTTCCACTTCACAATTGTGTGCCACTTTGTGGTGGTCTATCACATAAATTCCCAATAAAATAGGTTTACGTTTTTGGCTGTAACACGACAACAAAAATGGAAAATTTCAAGGGGTGTGAATACTTTTTCAAGGCACTGTACAATCAAGGCTGAAAAAGTACATATTTAAATTACAGAAAGGGACAGTTTTTGAGACCAAGGAGATGGGGAGAGTTTCCAATAAAGAGTGACTGCTCTGGGTTCTAAAGGCTGTATACAGAAAGAAGCAGGAGCATTGCCAGAGGCAATTTATAGAACATGGTAATTTTTGTAGCATAATTATAAATGTGTAATGTAGGTTCCTTTGTTATCCGCTTCAATACTGGGTACTTTTACCCCTTTCCTGTCCAGGACAATTTTCAGCTTTCGGTGCTCTCACAGTTTGAATGACAATTGCACGGTCATGCAATATTGTACCCAAACTACATTTTTATAATTTTTTTTTCACACAAACATAGCTTTGTTTTGATGGTATTTAATATTCACTGTGTTTTTATTCTTTGTTAAAAGACTGAAAATTTTGAAGAAAAAAAAAAAAACCCCAAAAAATAATCCACAAGCTTTTCTTCGTTTCTGTTATAAAATTTTGCAAATAAGTAATTGTTCTTCATAGAATTTAGGCCAAAAAGTATTCTGCTACATTTCTTTGGTGAAAATAACCCAAATTAGTGTATATTTAGTCTTTAGGAGAGTTAGAGAGTCCACAAACTATGGTATATATATATCTGAAAAAAAAATCGATCAATCCTACTGATGGTACTGATCTCATTTTGTAAGGCCCAAAAATGTCAGGACAGTACAGATATTCTCCAAATTACTCCTTTTTTGAAAGTAGACAGTCCGAGGTATTTAGTAAGAGGCAGAGTTTCTTGAAGTTGTAATTTTTTTGTCAGGCTTTGAAAAAAAAAAAAAAAAAATAAATAATCAAAATCCCCCCCACCTACTGTCACCATGCAGTACAGCGTCATCATATAACTGGTGTAGCAGTGATCAGGGACACGGACTGGTGATTGTATGTGTGTGTGTGTGTGTGTGGGGGGGGGGGGGGGGGGGGGGGGGGGGGGGGGGGGGGGGGGGGGGGGGGGGATTGTGACCAGTGAATATAATGCTACCATAGCAACACTGTACTACTCTGGAGAAGTGATCAATATTTTACTTTATCTATTTGTTATGATTGCCTATAGCAGTGAATTTCACTGCTATAGCAAGCATTTAACTGAATGAAATCAATTCAGTGCTTTTTTTTGTGTTGAGCTGTAATTGGCCACAGCTAATCATGACACAGATGGGCTGTGATTGGCTCACTCTGTAAATGTGATCACTGTGACCAATCACAGCTAACACAATTGTATACAATGGATGGCATGAAAGGAAGCCATCCATTGTTTACAATTGTCATGTGATCTGCTGTGAATGGTCACATGGTACGGACAAGGGCCAGTTCACAGATCGGTCATCGGTTGCATCCTATGGAAGTTCACCTTTTGGACAAAAATAATAAATGCACTTTTGCGGGTAAAAAAAAAAATAATGCCCATTTATTTTTGTCCAAAGGAGCATGGAAAGCATTGCACTAGTGATTAGTAGATCGCTGATGCCATGCAGGTCTCCTGCAGACCTGTCAGAATATGTGCAAGCCTTACGGGATGTATGGTCAAGCAGATATACTGACAGGAAGCTTCAATGAACTACCATGGCCCTTCACAGTGCCGTGGTAGTTCATTCAAAACTACAAACAAGTGAAAATATGCAGTGCTAAATTTTTCACTGGAGGATCTTGAGGTTTCCCTCTTTATACTGGCAGCTCTCCATCTATACCGCAACCCAGCGCTCATATAGCTTGTTCTTTTTATTCAAAACTACAGGCCCACAGCTGCTAAGGCTGCCGAGACTTGTAGGCAGTCATTCACAGAACTCTGTGTATTCTGGCGGAGCCCCACACGGCCACACTGTTTTCAAATCTGACATAATACGGAGAGACGTTTCCCCGTACTGTCAGATAGAAGGGGGGTGGGGTCAGGCACTGCTGTGGCTATGGGAACATGTAACAGATGGAACATGTAAAATGTTCCAAAGGTGAACTTACCCTTTAAGTACCAGGCCTATTCTGACACTTGACTCCTACATGTAAAAATCAGGTTTTTTGCTAGATTACTACTTAGAACCCCCAAACAATATATATTTTTTAGCAGAGACCCTAGAAAATAAAATGGTGGTCGCAAATTTTTCAGAAAAAAAAAAAAACACTTTAATGAATTCAAAAAACAAAAACAAAATAAAACATAACCCAATTTTTTGTAAAATATGAAAGATGATAGGCCGAGTAAATAGAAACCTAACATGTCATGTTTAAAATTGTACAGACTCCTGGAATGGAGCCAAACTACAGTACTTAATCTCTCTAGGCAACGATTTTACAGGTTACTAGTTTAGAGCTACAGAGGAGGTCTAGTGCTAGACTTATTGCTCTTGCTCTGACATTCGTGGCGATAGCTCACATGTGGTGTTGGTTTTTTTGTTGTTTATTAGGTTTTATTTTTTTTAACACTGCGTATCAAAATTTAGTTTATCACTTTAGTTCCTATCACAAGGAATTTAAACATCCCTTGTGATAGAAATAAGCAGTGAAACATCCCCTATATGGTAAATAAACCCCCACATCTCTCCTCTACAATGGAAAGCATGAGATTTAAAAAAAAGACCTAGAAGTGACGTCGCTCTGGTCCTCCTATGCCATACAGATCAGCAGAGGCCATCTTTTCTCTGCTCATCTCTGTGACCAGCTGCTACCAGAGCCGGATCGGTTCTCGGGCTCATCGATCATCCAGGTAAACCAGTGAAACACCAGAAAGCGTCAGAGCTGCAGCCATAACCCCGGTATTAACCGTCAAAATCATAGCATATTTTCCCAGTTAGGCGGTTGGCAAGTGGCTAACATTATATAGCACTTTTTTGGGACAGATAAAGTTTTAGATTTGGCAACAGAGTTGGATACATATAATTTTATTTCTTGGCTTTTAATGGTAATAAATTGTTGGAAAAAAAGAAAACAAAAAAAATTGCATTTTCCTGTTATTTTCCCAACACAAAGTTTATGTAATTTGCATTTCCCCAAATTTTTACTTAGCGTAACTGTTTTGTAATGTATGGGAATTGTAAAATTCAACATGAACGCAGGCATTTTATTTTAATAACGCTTTATTCCCCTTTAGCATTACATAGTGGCACACAGTAGAAAAACAGTTTGTGCAAATTGTTAGTGCAACATTAAGGCTCCATTCACACTTGTGTGACTCCAAAGTCGCACGATTTCCAGTGCGACTTTACACTCTCTGGCTCTCAAGTCGCATCAGAGTAGTGCAGGAGTCTTTTTAGGTTGCATTAATACAAACGGGCGCCATTGAAAACAACGGGTGTGACTTGTCATGCGACTGTGTCCAAAGCTGCATGACAGCTCACACAAGTGTGATCGGAGCCCAAGATTAATTCGGATTGACACAAATTAGAAAAACAGCAATTTTTACATTGGTTTGCAATAGCAAAATGTGAACATAATTGTTTTCACCTAGGTGAGCATTTGATGCTTGTACAGTGAGCATAATCTGATGCCATTGTTGGGGACTGGGAAATATACTGAGAGGGATTTTTATTTTGCATATATTATAATGCATATTTGTATATGTTTATTGATTTTTTTTTTTACATGGGAGTCTAGATCTGGTCAATTGAGGCCAGATTCACCACCCAATAAAGCTGTGCAACAGTAAATCACTTCTAATAGTAATGATTGCTAGCTGTAATCTTTTGCTACAGGGAGACATTGCATTGAGCCAGAATAGGTCTGTCCCAGCCTCAGTACTCTGAGGAAATGTGATGTCACAGTAGGGTTGCCACCTCGTCCCTTTAAAACCGGACATATTAATTACACAGGTTCTGAGGCTAATTTAATGCAGATAAGGAACTAAGTGAGTTTAATTACCACTTTAATCATCCACAGAACCTGTGGAATTAATATGTGTTCGGTTTTAAAGGGATGATGTGGCAACTCTGTCACATTATTACAATGTAAATACAAATGCAGAAGCATTGTGTTAATGGTGATCTGCTCTCATGTAGCCAGATTGGAAGCCAGAAGGCGATATCTGATCCTGGGTTTAGTGCTGGTTCCCAGCCATCATGAACAGCCGGCGGTTCCAGCGCTAAAGGTAATAGGGATCCCAGAAACCAGCCCCCATTTTAGGAATAGAACTGTGAGAGCTCTGGGTCAAATGGCACTCAGAGGTGGCTAACCTCTGTAACAAAGGCAATCCTTACCATTGTTAAAAAGCTGGTAACTGAAAAAAAGGCATTGAACCAATGTTATTTGCACTGTCTTTTTCAGTCTATGCATTTGAAAATACAGAAATAGTAAAAACACTTGTCAGAAATGCTCACCCCCCTAGAAAACACTGCCAAAGAGGCCGGTTTTTGATTGGCCAGATCTGAATCCTTAGAACCAAACAGCTTTGCTAGAAGCTTTACAACCGCCAAACGTTCTTCCCCATCATTACTCTGAAAACAAGGACAAAATTTAGTGACGCAGCACATAAAAGCAATACCACCATTTTATTTTTGTTCTTTCACAGGCTAAATGAAGCACACATTATATACTTAAAAATTTACCAAACAACCCATCCCTTTCAAAACTATATATTTTATGGAAGCCGAAAACACAGAACATAAGATAATCTTGTTATTTAAATACAGAACTATGCAAAAAGAGTTAGGCAGGTGTGAAGAAATGATGTAACGTAGTGAAGAATGCTTTCAAAAATATATATGATTTCTTTTAATTTTATAAAATGCAATGTGAGCAAACAGAAGAAAAATTTAAATCAATTTGGTGTGACTACCCTTTGGCTTCAAACCAGCATCAATCCTTGTCCAGCATCAAGGGATACTTATCCATCATGCCATACCATCAGAGAGGCATGTGACTGGCCCCACGTTTATTGTGCATGACAATGACCCCAAACATACAGCCAATGTCATTAGAAATTATCTTCAGTGTAAAGAGGATCAAGGAGTGCTGAAAAGGGATGGTTTGGCCCCCACAGAGCCCTGGATCTCAACATCATGCAGTCTGTCTGGGATTACATGAAGAAAGCCTTCATCCACAGAAGATCTGTGGTTAGTTCTCCAAGATGTTTGGAACAACTTACCAGCTTAGTTCCTTCAAAAGCTGTGTGCAAGTGTACCTACAAGAACTGATGTGGTTTTTAAGGAAAAAGGTGGTCACACCAAACATTTATTTGAATTTCTTTTCTGGTCATTTACTTTTCTTTTACTCATTTCATTAACTGAATAAAATAAACTATTATTAAAACTTCAATTTCTGAAGGTTTTTTTTTCTTTAACTGCTACCCGACTGTCCTATAGCAGAAATACTGCTACAGGGCAGCACAGGAGCACAAAATTTCAATCTATACGTGATTTTTCGTTTTCAGGCAGGGGGCGCATGCGAGCCCTACCCGTACTGCCATTTGTGGCCGCAGCTGTCAATTACCGGGTCCTGGCCGGTGATTGCCGATGATCTCCGACGGAGAGGAGAACTGTTTGTAAACAAAACCGTTCTCCTCCCTGTTAGCTTGTGCACACTGCTTTGCATGGCTGTGCACAGCACAGCCATACAAAATAGTGTGCTTACAGTGAAGCACAAACACACAGCTCCCCAGTAAAACACACCCAGCACACAGTTAACCCTTGGAACGCCCCTCATGTTAACACCTTCCTGCCCAATGCCATTAGTACAGTGTCAGTGGGTTTTTTTTGGCACTGATCACTGTATTGGTGTCACTGGGGATGTCCGTGACACCAAGTCATTTCCCCCCCACTGTCAGAATGCATGCCACAGTCCCGCTATAAGTAGCTGGTCGCCGTCATATATATATATATATATATATATATATATATATATATATATATATATATATATATATATATATATACACATACACACACACATACATATACACACATATATACACCACCATTTGTAAATGCTATAACTTTCACGTAAACAAATAAATTTATACATATTGGGATTTTTTTTATAGCAAAGACATGTAGCAGAATACATCTTTGCCTAAATTTATGACAAAATTAGATTTTTTTTTTACATTTACTGGACATTTTAAACAAAAAGTCAAAAATATTGTTTTTTTTTTTCTCAAAATTGTCAGGTTTATTTTTTTTTTTTTTAAACGCAAAATATAAAAACCGCACAGGCGATCAAATACCACCGAAACAAAGCTCAATTCGTGGGGAAAAAAAAGGATGTAAATTTCATTTGGGTGCAGCATTGCATGACCGTGCAATTGTCAGTTAAATTAATGCAGCGCCGTAACGCAAAAAATGGCCTGGTCAGGAAGGGAGTAAATCCTCTGGAGAAAAAGTTGTTAATTTATAGCATTTTTCACACCTGCCTAAAACAATTACCCAGTACTGTACATTATGTCATTATAACTTTTTAAAATGCCAGTTGACCGGCTATGCCTGGGGTTGAAGTAGTATCGCCAGCAGTTGAAAATCATTGTTGATCCACCCAGGAGATCCATTGTACTTGGTCTGGGCCAAATCTGTGTAGTGGTTTTGAAATAAAATCACATTTCCATTCTGTCTGCAGGTCCAGGGTAAAGGGTAAGATGATGACCATACTAATGTAACAACCACTGCACCGATCTATGTGCTCTGTGTCCCCTGGTGAATTTACAGGTATTGTTAACTTCTGGCTATACTTCCTCTTTAGGACTACTTCACCATACATACAGCAAAGTATGTAGCAAAGGAAAGTCATAGTAAAGTCAGAAATACTTTTCTTCTTTAAAATTCTAATTCAATGACTCACAATATTGAAGTCACAGAAAAGCCAGGCAACTAGCATTTCCAGCAGAGGACAATAAGGGCAGCCTTTTGAGCTAGATTCTATACTCATAGCAATATTTTTCTGCCAACTGCAACCAACTGAGTTTTCAGCTAGCATAACAGGTAGGAAGGCAAGCCTAAAAAGGGCAAAAACGTAAAAACATTGTTCTGCCTGGCTCCTCTTCATCACCACTTCCTTCAGGTTTCTTGGTAAAAAAATATTGGAAGCCTCTACCAACTAGTCTGAACTAAACAGCTGGCTGAACAAAAAATGTAATTCCTGTAAAGAATTTTACCGAAATGCAGCCAGAAGGTGCGTGATAAAAAAACAAGAGAGCAGGACTTAGATCTGAGCCGTCTGTTAACAGAGATCAGAAAAAGAAAAAAAAAATGAACCTCTGATAATGACGACATAAATGTCACTTTATTGCAGAAGTAAAACTTGTATACATTATGTATCCAAATCAAATCCGTACCTTCAATTTGAATTCCAGCTGCGGCATCACAGAAACCAACAAATTAGGATCTATTGCAAAGAGCTCCTGAATAAGGTCAAAGACATGCTCTGACAAGTCACTAACAGAGGACTTTCCAAGCACCAATACCTGGTTGAAAAACTAGATTGTAAAGAAAAAACAAATGGGAAGTTAAAACAGTGCTATAAATGAAATCTTAACACTACATTACTACACTAACACCCCGGTCACATCAAGTATGACTTGAAATCGTGTGACTTACAGTGAAGTTGCACGATTTCAAAGTCGGGTGAGATACCAATTTCAGGTGCGATTTGCAAGACATCTGACACAGTTGTCTATGAAAATCACACCAAACGTTGTACATGTACTACTTTAGAAATCGGTGTTGGTCTGGCTAAGTCGGAACAGCACCGATTTGACTGATCTAATTGTGGACAATAGGGTGCGACTTGGCATACGATTTGCAAGTAGCATGGCAAGTAAATCGCATACCAAGTTGCACCCAATGTGGCCGGGGTATAAGAGCACATTGACACTTCTGCAACTTGCCATGCAATATTAGGGTCCAAAGATGCATGACAAATCACATCCCATGTTTCCCAATGAGTACCATTCATATCTGAGCGACCAGAAAGTAGTTCCTGCACTACTTTGGTCCAACTTTCAGGAGACTTGAGGGCCATAGACTTCAATGTAAACCCTCCTAAGGTGCATGAAAGTCGAACCTGAATGATATACATGCGACTTGTGTGCGACTTTGTACAGCACAATCATCCTTGCTCAAAGCCGAAGTCGCACTTATACAAAGTTGCATTATAGTCACATCAAGTCGCACTGTAAAGTCACAATGAAAAATGCACGATTTTGAAGTTGCACAAGTGTGAATGAAGTTTACTGATGCAAAACCTTATTGAGTGAGATCAGCTGTCTAATATTAGTTTTGTAGCTCACCCCAAAAATTTACATGAGGGAAAAGATCAGGGGGTATAATAAGCAGTAAAGAGCTTTAGTTTCTGCAACTGCATTATTTATTGAAGGGTGGGGAACACATTTTTCACAATTCCAAAAGTGTATAATGGTTTTGACTTGTTCAGTGTTATGCTGTTCTTACACAGTTATGTAAATTAATCTAAAATAAATTACAGCCTATTGCAAAAATCATAAATCTAAGGTTGCATGTAAACAGTATTGTAAACTTACATTTGCAATACAAGGCTCAATTGTTTGAACGGTCCTCTTTAAAAGTACTTTGGCAAGGTCAAATGCTTGCTTGTTAAGATTCTGGGGGAAGAAAAATGGCAGACCAGAAATGTTTTTGTGCATATAAACTGGCGAGAAATTTTGGTACAAATCAAAAACCCAACAAAATGTTATATGTAAACAAACAGCCTAACTGAAGTCCTTCTGCCCTCATCCCACACCTTTCATATATTGTATCAGAAGATATACAGTGGATATAAAAAGTCTACACACCCCTGTTAAAATGTCAGGTTTCTGTGATGTAAATAAATGAGACAAAGATAAATCATTTCAGAACTTTTTCCACCTTTAATGTAACCTATAAATTGAACAAACTGAAATCGTTTAGGTGGAGGGAATTAAAAATAAAAAACAAATACAAAAAATTTTGGTTGCATACATGTGCACCCCCTTCAACTAATACTTTGTTGAAGCACCATTTGATTTTATTCCAGCACCCTGTCTTTTTGGGTATGAGTCTATCAGCATGGCACATCTTGACTTGGCAATATTTGCCCACTCCTTGCAAAAACACTGCACATCTGTCAGATTGTGAGGGCATCTCCTGGGCACAGCCCTCTTCAGATCAGCCCACAGATTGTCCATCGGATTCAGGTCTGGGCTGTGGCTGGGCCATTACAAAACTTTAATCTACTTTTGGTGAAGCCATTCTTGTTCCTCTTCATGTTCAGCTTTCTAGCAGAAGCCTGAAGGTTTTGTGCCAATATTGACTGGTATTTGGAACGGTTCATAATTCCCTCTATCTTGACTAAGGCCCAAGTACCAGCTGAAGAAAAACAGCCCCAAGCATGCTGCTGCCACCACGCTTCACTGTGGGTATGGTGTTCTTTTGGTGATATGCAATGTTGTTTTTGCGCCAAACATATCTTTTGGAATTATGGCCAAAACGTTCATCCTTGGTTTCATCAGATTAGAAAACATTTTCCCACATGCTTTTGGGAGACTTCAGATGTGTTTTTGCTAAATTTTAGCCGGGCTTGGATGTTTTTCTTCGTAAGAAAAGGCTTCCGTCTTGCCACTCTTCCCCATAGCCCAGACATACGAAGAGTACAGGAGATTGTTGTCACACATACCACACAGCCAGTACTTGCCAGATATTCCTGCAGCTCCTTTAATGTTGCTGTAGGCCTCTTGGCAGTCTCCCAGACCAGTTTTTCTTCTCGTATTTTTCATCAATTTTGGAGGGAAGTCCAGTTCTTGGTAATGTCACTGCTGCGCCATATTTTCTCCACTTGATGACTGTCTTTACTGTGTTCCATGGTATATCTAATGCCTTGAAAATTCTTTTGTACCCGGCTACATCCCAACTCCTCCAATTAACCTCTTCTTTTGCACGCACACAGTCCTCCACCCACACTGACGGGAACACCCTGGACCTCGTTTTCTCTCATCTCTGCACCCCCCACAACCTCACAAACACCCCTTTCCCTCTCTCTGACCACAACCTCATTAAGTTCTCCGTCTTCCCGTCCTCAAACGTCAAACCATCACCAGCCGTAACCTCCGCAACCTGAACCCGGCCCCTCCACTCTGCAGCGGACTGTCTTTACGACAGTATTCTTCCACTGTCCTGCCGTGACCTGGCCACTACTGCATATAACAACTCGCTGTCAGCTGCCTTAGACTCCTCAGCATCCCTAACCACACGCATTAGACCCCAACTGCGTCAACCCTGGCAGAACGACCACACCAAAAATATTAAATGACGCAGTTGCGCACTGGAGCGATTACGGCGCAAACCCAGATCCCCTCAAGCGTTCACCCTTTACAAATCCACCTTCCTCACCTACACCTCCTCCCTCCACACCGCCAAATAAGCCTACTTCGTGACCCTCATCAATACCCTCTCCACCTGTCCTCGCCGGCTCTTCTCCACTTTCAACTCCCTAATCTCTCTCCCCCCCCCACCTCCACCCAGTACCTCACTCACCGCACACGAGATTGCCAACCACTTCCAAAACAAGATCGACGCAATCCGTAAAGACATCACCAATGCCCAATCTACCTCCCCACCTAGCCTCCCTCCCGCGATAACCCCCTCAACTTTCCCCTCCTCTGACCTCGCAACCGCCTTGACCCCCACCACACCTAACATCCCGCACACTAAAACCTCCCCAACACTCCACTTCTTCAGCCTTGCTACCACTGAAGAGGTCACTAAGGTCTTCTCAGAAGCCCGCCTCACCACATGCCCCCTTGACCCTGTCCCCACACAACTCCTCCGGTCTCCCTCCTCCTCCATCCTACGCTCCCTCACCCACATCTTCAATCTCTCCCTCTCTACCGGCGCATTCCCCTCCTTCCTAAAGCATGCACACATCACTCCCATACTCAAAAAACCCTCCCTGGACCCCACCGACCTGAGCAACCTTAGACCCATCTCCCTGCTCCCAATTTCATCCAAACTCCTCGAGCGCTTAGTATACAATCGCCTAAGCTCCCACCTCAATGACAACCTCCTTGATCCTCTACAGTCCGGATTTCGTCTCCTACACTCCACCGAAACCGCCCTACTCAAAATGACTAATGACCTGCTAATGGCCACTACTCAGTCCTCCTACTCCTCCACCACTCCGCGGCCTTCGACACAGTTGACCACCCCCTCCTCAAACTATACTCCCTTGGAATCAGAGACTCCGCCTCTCTCCTGGCTTTCCTCCTATCTTTCCCAACGCTCCTTCAGCGTTACCTATAACGCTGCCACCTCCCCCTCTCTGTTGGGGTCCCCCAAGGCTCTGTCCTCGGGCCCCTCCTCTTCTTCTACACCTCCTCCCTTGGCCAACTGATACACTCCCACGGCTTCAACTACCACCTCTATGCTGATGACACGCAAATCTACCTCTCTACCCCTCGCCTCACCCTTCAGTCTCCGCCTGAATCACCTGCCTACTGAACGACAGACTGGATGTCACTCCACTTCCTCAAATTAAACCTTTCCAAAACCGAGCTAGTAATTTTCCCCCGCAGCCTGAGCCCCCCTCCATCATGACCAACAACGCCACCATTAGTCCCACCCCCGCAAGCCAAAGTCCTAGATGTCACTCTAGACCCAAATCTGTCCTTCCAACCCCATGAACAATCGCTGGCAAACTCATGCAGGCTCCACCTCCACAACATCTCCAAAATACGTACGTTCCTAACCCCAGACACTACTAAACAACTCATTCACTCCCTTATTATCTCACGACTCGACTACTGCAACTCCCTCCTCACCGGCCTACCTCATCACAGACTATCCCCGCTTCAGTCTATCCTGAATTCAGCGGCCAGACTCATCCACCTTACCAGCCGCTCGGCATCTGCAACCCCCCTCTGTCATTCCCTCCATTGGCTTCCGATTGCCCAACGCATTAAATTGAGACTAATAACATTGACATACAAAGCCATTCATAATGCTGCCCCAAACTACCTTACCGACCTGATACCCAAATACCACCCAACCCGTACTCTTCGCTCCTCACAAGACCTCCTACTTTCTAGCTCCCCGGTCTCCTCCTCCCACGCCCGACTCCAGGACTTATCCAGGACTTCCCCCATCCTCTGGAACTCACTACCCCAATCCATCAGACTGTCACCTACCCTCCTCACCTTTACGCACACCCTGAAAACCCATCTCTTCGGGGAAGCCTACCCCACCCTCACCTAACAGCCGATTTCCTCCACGCCTCCCACCACTCCATCCCCCACAACCACTTCCTCCTGTACCACTATCCCCTCCCTCCTAGATTGTAAGCTCAAAAGAGTAGGGCCCTCGAATTTCTCGTATATTGTTTTGTTACTGTATTGTAACATGTACTGTCCCCCACTATATTGTACAGCGCTGAGCAAACTTTTTGGTGCTTTATAAACACTGTATAATTATAATAATAACCTTAAGACACTAGCAAGAAACTGAAAATGCCTAGCCGGCAGTGGTTATAGCAACTTTTTCTCTATTGCCAGTGTCAAGGACCTGAAGTTGGCAGCATAACCCCATCATAATGGATATGAAGATAACCTGTGTCCTTGAATGCATGATAAATGGGATTTTGTCTTTTTTTAGCAGCCAGTAAAAGGAATCTCTTCCAAAGATGCTCACAGCTCAAATTCAATTCAATATTGTATTAGGAAAATTCTAACCACTACTAGAAATAGGAAGCCATTTATTTATTCTAAAAAGGTCTATTTTCAAAGAAACCAGTGAACTCTAACACCGTTGGGCATGGAGGTCTCATTGGAAACACATTTCTGCATTGCAAAAGGTAAACATCAAGCAACCTCAAAAGCAGAGAAATACAGGGGCACTCTATATGTAATTTGAACCAAGTCATCTAAAATTAGCACTTTGTATTAAATATTATGACGTCAGAAGCTAAACTGCTCCATTAAATTCTAGACCATATATGAAAAGTGCTGACCTTATGAGCGGGGATTAGATTAATGAGGATAGAATCCAGCAATTCTTGTGTAACTCCATCTCCCTCCATGGTTATTGAGCTCATTAAATCCAACATGTGCATTTGAACTTTCTGGTTGTGGCTGTTACTGTAGAATCAAAAACACAGTGAATGTGAATCAAAATTATAAAAGAAAAAAAAAAACTAATACAAAAAGGACTTGCGCACATCGAAGGAACCTGTTCAAAAATGGAATGAAAAATATTAGTAGCAGGTAGCTATAGCATGCTATAGCTATGCATCCAAACAACATCTGCAGCCTATTTAGAATCGAAAATAGTATCTTCTCCAAGTTGCTTTTTTAGCATAGCACAGGCAGCACCTGCCAACCCACCACTCAAATGACAAAGCCTATGTCTGTATTGCAGGACGAACTGCAGGAGCTCCAAGAAATATGGCACTGGAACTAGTCTGCAAAAAGCAAGTTGCACCAATCGCTTGCTCTAAGAACACTAGTTTTATTACTTCCACAAGTTTGATTTAATTTAAAGTCGAAATTTAGGTTAAAAAAAAATGGTGAACAGGCAGGAATTTTAATACAGAAGAGACATGCTTTGGCTTTTTCACTTCTGCATTAAAATTACTGACCTGCCTGTCCACCTTGGACCGTGAACCACACATACAAAACACTCTATACAAATTCGGCAATGCCAAATCTGACTGAACTCTGGCGCATGCGCCAGAGTGACGTCATCCCTGCCTGGTCAATGACAGCACCTGGTGGAAACCGGTCCCCAGACGATGTCAGTGGCTGGGCATGGAACAGAGGGCTGCTGTATCGCTGGAGCCAGGGTGAGTATAGTTCCACTTTAAAATCCGTCAGACAACTGCTACACCAACAGGAAATGACTGGAAAAACTGCACAAGTCTTATACCCAGCAGTCCAAAGATAGTGTTCTATTGTTACCAAACTCTTAAGTGACTGAGTTCAGAAAACATATTGCAAGCATACAAAAGCAAAGAAAAAAAAAGCAAAGAATAAAAAGTAAAGCCAAATAGAAAAAAAACAAAGGTTTTTAACTTACTTAATAACCGAGAAAAGAGTCTTAAAGAGTTGAATAAATATTTCATTGCAATCCTCCAATTCAAAACAAATGTTGTAGGATTTGACCCAGGCTAAATTCTAAAAAGAGAAGAAAAAAAATATACATATGTAGTCAATGAAAGGTTGAGCACTAACCTGTACACATACAACTTTAATGTCTTAGAAAAAAAAAAATTTTATGCACCAGTAAATTCTATATCTTGTACAGTAAAGGACACTAAGCCTTAGACAATGGGTTATTTGCCAACATCTTCAGGTGACTGGACACTGGGAACAATTCCAGTGCACTTTCATATAACCCTACCCATTGCGTGGGACTACAGTTTTGTAGCAGCAATAGGGAGAAAAAGGAGAGGGACCTTTGTCCTGTACTCCAAGATAAGAGCAGGCAAGTCAAAACTCAAATAAAACTGTACAGGACAGACAGTCAGACTATGGTACATAACCAAGTAATATGGGTAACAACATATCAAAAGAGCAGCGAACGGCCCATTAAAAAGGGGTCAAAAGACCCTGAACACTTAGATGACAGCTTAAAGCATCTTGAGGCTAAAGTCTGTCTTAGTGGTTTTCTAGGGATAAGTTTGAAAATCCACAATGCCAGATAAACAGAAAAGATCTGCTTGACTTATATCACAAGAAAGTTGAGTTGCAAAGGTCTTGAGCTGAACTGAGCAAAGGTAACAGCCTTGAAAGTGGCTACCATGAGGCGCAGAACCCGAATTCAGAAGCTAGTCAAGGGATGCCTGGTTGACTTGAGATCGCTACAACTTGGACCTTAGAGAAGCAGCCTGTTCCCCAGGAAGGAAAATTTTGGTCTTGGCGGTGTCCAAAAATATCCACAAATACCCCAGGCGATGGGAAGGCTGGAGAGCAAACTTCTAGAAGTTGATTAGCCATCCGAAAGCTTGAGGGCATTGATTTGTTAGATGGAACACATGACCATGGGTGAAGAATCTTTTAGCAAAAGTCATCCTTAGCACTTTTGTGAAAACTTTTGGTGCAGAGGAGAGCCTGAACTGCAGCATGACAAATTGAAAGTGTTGAACTCCCACAGAAAAATGTAGAAAGCATTGGCCTATAGGAAAGATGGGAACTTGAAGATAGGAATCTCTGATGTCTCAATGATTTAAAGAAAATTTCCTGATTTGAGAAAAGCTATAACAGATGCTGCAGACCCCATGCAGAATTTGGGGACATGTAAATATTGGTTTAAACATTTTAGATCAAAAGTGGGGTCGGTGCTTCCATTTGATGAGACTTAATAGCTTTAAATAAAATCCTTTGATCCTTTCCTCTGCAGGAATCGGGATTGCCACTCTTTGTGCATGAGACTGATTCAGGGTAAACCACAATTCCTTCCTTCTTTGAGGCAAAGCTGGGGTATTTGAGTGCAGGTATCAAGGAAGAGCAGTAATAGAAATTTTATTTTGTATTCCCTCAACAGGTTGAACCCAATGTTTTGGGAGGCTCTAAGCCTAACAGGCGCAAGTGCCAACGGACATTCTCTACTATGGAAAGTGAGTGTGCCTCTTCATTGTGAGGGCGGCTTCTGAGTATGCCAAGAGGGTTTTGGGATACAAAGCTTCCAATAAGAGGATGGACCAGCTTTTGATTTAAAGACCCCTAGGTACAGTGAAAGGACCCCATTCAGTAAGAAGAGGTAGAAGTCGTAGTAGAAGATTTAGAATGTTTTGTGTGGTAAAAAAGGTACCTTCCTTATCAAGGAATTCACTAAACAGACATTCGCCACCAAAAGTTATGTCCAAAAGATTGCCTTCAATAAAGTTTCGAAGCACCTATCAATAAAATCCTTAAAGTATTAACTCAAAAACAAAAGTTGAAATTGTAGTTCACCAATCCTTACATGTGGTGGCTGCATTCAGTTTTTTTTAGGCCTTTGTTTTCACCTAGTGATCCAGCCAGCAAGTGTTTTGGGTTTTTTTTTTTTTTTTACTTACTTTAACAGACCAAGGAGCAGATAGGGGGTTGAGACAAACCATTTAATACTGACAGGGGGTTCTTACAATGCTCAGCTTTTATGTAAAACATTGAGTCCAAAAGGTAAAAAAAACCTGCTTGCTGAAACTGCTTATCTTACCTTTCTCAGCGCACTCTCAGTGTCACATACAACTCCTCCTCCTCTGTTCCGCTTCCTCTTTCTGTTGGAGTACCCCAAGGTTCTGTTCTCTGGCCCCTCCTTTTGTCTCTGTATACCTCCTCCCTGGGCCAACTGATAACCTACTATGGCTTCCAATACCACCTCTATGCTGATGACACCCAGATCTATCTCCCCACGTATCACAAATCTAATAAGCGACATATCAGCATGGATGTCACATCACTACCTTAAACTCAATCTTTCAAAAACTGAGCTTGTAATATTTCCTCCTCTCCGATCCTCCACTCACGACTTTACCATTAAGATCAACAGCACAACCATTGGTCCTTCCCCTCATGCCAGGGTGCTAGGCGTAGTCCTAGACTCTGACCTCTCCTTTGGGCCCCACATCCACTCACTGGCTAAATCCTGCCACCTCAACCTCCGGAACATTTCCAAAATAAGCCCCTTCCTGACCAATGACACCACAAAACAACTTATCCACACCTTGGTTATATCCCGCCTCGATTACTGCAATTCCCTCCTCACTGGTCTACCATTACACTGGCTATCCCCCCTTCAGTCTATTATGAATGCTGCTGCTGCTAGACTCATACACCTTACCAACCGATCAATGACTGCTGCCCCTCTCTGCCAATCCTCCAATGGCTTCCACTAACCCAACGTATAAAATTCAAAATACTAACCACAGCTTACAAAGCCATCCACAACACTGCCCCTAGCTACATTACCAACCTCATCCACAGAAATCGCCCACTCCGCTCCTCCCATGATATCCTCCTCTCTAGCTCCCTCATCACCTCCTCCCACGCTCGCCTCCAGGACTTCTCCGGAGCCTCTCCCATCCTCTGGAACTCCCTACCACAGCATGTTCAGTCAGCCCCCACCCTGTCTGCCTTTAGGCGATCTTTGAAAACTCAGTTCTTCAGGGAAGCCTACGCCACCTCCAACTAAGAACAGTACTTGAATCACCTCCGACAGATCATCCCCCTCAGCTATCACCTTTTGTATCACCTCCCCCTTCCTTTAGATTGTAAGCTCCACGAGCAGGGCCCTCCTATTCCTTGTGTACTGAAATGTATTGTAATTGTACTGTCTCCCTTATATTGTAAAGCGCTGCGCAAACTGTTGGCGCTATATAAATCCTGTATAATAATAATATAGTGTTATCTGCAGATTCAATCTGTAAGGCAGGTCTATCTAAATCTGCTAGTCTAGTCCCTCCCCCAGAATGACAATGTTGCTGTCCAAAGGTATCTGCTTTACCATTTCATTCAAGATGCAGTCATTCTAAGATAGGAAGTGTGCTACTGGCTGGATCACCAGGTGAAAGTTGGGACACTAAAATCTACATAAAAGCAGAATCCAATGATTTGCAAATCTCATAAATTGTATTTACAATAGAAAACATACCAAATGTTTAAACTAAGAAAATGTATAACTTTAAAGTGGTAGTAAACCTTTTTTGTATAATTTTACCTACAGGTAAGTTTATACCTGTAGGTAAAATTAATATTTCTTAAACATGCACCATTTAGGAGATATTCGCTCTCTTTGACAGACGGCGCATGCGCTCTGAAAGAATGGCATACCCCTTCCTTCAGAGCACGATGCTGTGGCACAAGACTCGGCCGGTCCGTCATTGTGGCTCAGCCAGATGGCCAGAGCTCGCAAAACCCAGAAGGAAGACCAGGCGAAGACTAAAGCTTCTTTTTTTTCTTTTAGCGGTGACAGCGCGCCGATAAAGGGCACCTTGGAAAAAAAAAAAAAGGTAATTTTGAAACAGAAGACAGCAACACCGCTCAAAGTTGGGACAGGGCCATATTTACCACGGTGTAGCATCCCTCTTCTAACACTCTGTAAACATCTGGGAACTGAGGAGACCAGTTGCTGGAGTTATGGGAGAGGAATGTTGTCCCATTCTTGCCTGATATAGGAGTCTAACTGCTCAACAATACTTTTGATTCTTTAGACATTAATGGTTGTGTTGAGTTATTTTGAAGGGACAGCAAATTTACACTGTTATACAAGCTGTACACTCGCTACTTTACATTGTAGCAAAGTGTCATTTCTTCATTGTTGTCACATGAAGTATAAATACATACATACACACACACATATACAGTGAAGGAAATAAGTATTTGATCCTCTGCTGATTTTGAATGTTTGCCCACTCACAAAGAAATGATCAGTCTAAAAATCGAACGATAGGTGTATTGTAACAATGAGAGACAGAATAGCAACAAAAAATTCAAAAGAAATGCATGTCTAACAAATTATGCACTGATTTGCATGTTCATGAGGGAAATAAGTATTTGATCCCCTTCACAAACCATGACTTAGTACTTGGTGGCAAATCTCTTGTTGGCAATCACAGAGGTCAGACGTTTCCTGCAGTTGGCCACCAGGTTTCCACACATCTCAGGAGGGATTTTGGCCCACTCTTCTTGGCAGATCCTCTCCAAGCCAGTAAGGTTTGGTGGCTGACATTTGGCAACTCGAACTTTCAACATCCTCCACGGATTTTCAATTGGATTAAGGTCTGGAGACTGGCTAGGCCACTCCAGGACCGTAATGTGCTTCTTCTTGAGCCACTCCTTTGTTGCCTTGGCCGTGTGTTTTGGGTCATTGCCATTCTGGAACACCCATCCACGGCCCATTTTCAATGCCCTGGCTGAGGGAAGAAGGTTCCCACCCAAGATTTGAGGGTACATTGCCCCGTCCATCGTCCCTTTGATGCGGTGCAGGTGTCTTGTCCCCTTAGCAGAAAAACACCCCCAAAGCAGAATGTTTTCACCACCATGTTTGACAGTTGGGATGGTGTTCTTGGGGTCATAGGCAGCATTCCTCCTACTCCAAACACCGCGAGTTGAGTTGATGCCAAAGAGCTCGATTTTGGTCTCATCTGACCACAACACTTTCAACCAGTCCTCTTCTGCATCATTCAGATGTTCAGTGGCAAACTTCAGAAGGGCCTGGACATGTGCTTTCTTGAGCAGAGAGACCTTGCGGGCACTGCAGGATTTCAATCCTTGTCGGCGTAATGTGTTACCAATAGTTTTCTTGGTGACTGTGATCCCAGCTGCCTGGAGATCATTGACAAGATCCTCACGTGTAGTTCTGGGATGATTCCTCACGGTTCTCATGATCATTGACACTCTACAAGGTGAGATCTTCCATGGTGCACCAGACCTAGGGAGACTGACAGTTGTATTGTGTTTCTTCCATTTGCGAATGATTGCACCAACTATTGTCACCTTCTCACCAAGCTTTTTGGCGATAGTTTGGTAGCCCAGTCCAGCCATGTGTAGGTCTACAATCTTGTCCCTGACATCTTTGGACAGCTCTTTGGCCTTTGCCATGGTGTAGAGTTTGGAATCTGATTGATGCTCCTGTGGACAGGTGTCTTTTATACAGGTAACAAAATGAGATTAGCAGCACTCCCATTAAGAGACTGCTTCTAATCTCAGCTTGTTACCTGTATGAAAGACACCTGGTAGCCAGAAATCCTGCTGAATGATAGAGGATCAAATACTCATTTCCCTCATGAACATGCAAATCAGTGCATGCATTTCTTTTGAATTTTTTGTAGCTACTCTGTCTCTCAGTGTTACAATACACCTACCATTCAATTTTATATACACACACACACACCCCAAGTACTGTATAAAAGTATTACAGATTTCACTAGGGTAAAAAAAAAATCAAAATACCTCTAACAAGTAAAAATATCTATTGAACTGAGGGCTTTTTGTGTCTTCCAGACCTTTCAGTTGTCTTGTTATAAACAAGAATATGTCCTACATAAAACAAAGGGAAAACATATTTTAGAAATACATTTGATAGTGTGAAGACAATATTTTTTTCTTAAAACAAAGAAAAAAAACCAAAAACACACACAAAGGCATTGAACCACCACACTGTCAGACATTAACCCCTTCACGCCTAAGGGTAAAAACAAATTAACTGCCTAAGCACTATTTTTCAACGTTGACATGTTAGTAAAACCGTACATATCATAACTACTTTGTACATCCAGGTGAATTATACTGCGTTTTTTTCAGGACAAATTGGGCTTTCATTTGGTGGTAAATGGTAATGAATGTCTCCTGATTTTTTTTTATTATCAAAGGAAAACTGGCCCAAAATAGTAAAAAAAAAAAAAATTGTTTTTTTTTTTTTATTTAGCTGTGTTTCTTGTTACTACCATAACCTACCACAGAACAACCCAAAATAAATTCTGTATGCTATTTGTTGGTTGTAACCATAGTACAGCCCAGAAACAATAGTGCACATACAGATACCAAAGTTTTTTTTTTTAATCCTGACCTTTTGACCTTGATCTTTGACACAAACAATAACCCTGGCACTAAACTAAATCAAATCTTGATCTAGGTACTCTTTTTTTATTTACCTATCTTTTTTTTTTTTTGTACAAACATTTTTTTCCCCCTTTATGCCAGGAGTTAGAGAGATACAATGTATCTCTCTTCTCCATTCATAGAGAGAGAAAAAAAACAAAGGGGCCGGGCTGCACAGTGACTGGCTATCACAGTGATCAATCAGAGGCTATCACAGCGATCATGTGACCTGGAATCGGGAGTCCCGATCGTTAGAACGGGACCCAGGGCTCTCAGTGATAACGTGGCCTTTGTGCTGGGAGCACGAAATGCGGCTCACTCCCAGCACAAAGACAGGTACACAAATATGTGGCCATACGCAAAAAAGCCCAGTTCCGCGAGTATGCATATTTGTGTGACGTCGGCATCAAGGGGTTAAATAGCAATTTAAGATGCTGAATAAAATGATCAAATTGGCTGCATGTGCTGCTCGAACACAAATTCTAAAACAGTTCCGTTCAAAAAGAGTTGATCAGTAGGTCAACTGATCTCCAGCAGGAACAGCCATAGACGGATGAAAATTCGTCCCATCCCTGCTGAACTGTCTGAATTCCGATCCATCTTAAAGTAATACTAAACCCCTGGACTCTGCTATGCAGTGTGACAAAGTACAGGTTTACCTTAAAACTGTAAACCACAAGATAAAGATCAAGTCTATCTTTCTTACAGTTAGCAAAAGAAAATAAGGAAAGACTGGCAAAAAGGAGAACAAAAACAAGATCTCCCCCCCCCCCCCCCCTTTTTTTTTTTTTTTAATTAACCACTTTGGCTCAAGAGCATTTTTTGATTTTTTTGTACACATGTAAAAATATTGTTTTTGGCCACACAATTACTTAAATTCCAAGAACATTATATATTTTCTGAAAGCAGAGGCCCTGCAGAAAAAAATGTCACAATATTTGTGCAACTGTTTATCAATCTCATATTTTCAGGAAAAATAATAAAATGAAGTTCAGTGCAAACACACAATACCAATTTTTTTTTTTTTTTTAACACAAAAGATGGGGTTGTGTTAAGTAAATAGACACCAAGTCTTAAAATTGTCTTGGATGTCAAGTCTTATAATTATGTGCGCCCTTGATATTGCAAAAACTATGGTACCCAAAACTCTCCACAGGCGAGGCTTTAAAATCACCAGTTTAGTGTTAACTATGAGCTATGTTGCAAGAACTATTGCTCTCGCTCCAACATTTGCAGCAATACCTCACATCTGTTGTGCACACATTCATGCATATACAGTGTGTGCATGTGCAGACGTCTGTAGGGAAACTGGGGTTATGTTTTTGTTTTTAAACTTTTTTTTGTTTAACTTTATTGCCATCACAAGAGGGTTAAAACCACCATGGGAATGCTTTGAAAGCTGAACTGGTAAAATACAATTTCACTTCCCCCCTGTGAGTACAGATTAGAAGTTTATAGTACATGAGTAGACTGTACCTTTAATTTATCATGAGATGTGTATGGCGCTTCAGGTGCATATATTCTAAAGATATCAGCCAAACAACAGGCTACTAGCAGGCGAACATCTTTGTTAGGATTCCTGAGGAAGAATTCAGATGAAAGGTGCAAGGCTAAAGGGAGATATTGCTGTTTCTCATCTTCTGAATCCTGGTCCATATCCATAAAAGTTTTAACCACCATCTAGAAGAAAAACAAAAAGAATCAAAGATTGATGACACCTTTCAAATATCAAACCAATGCTACTGCTATGTAGTTTGCCTTTTTTTTTTTTTATTTCCTTTGGTTTTGTGATGTCTGACGTTTTCGTTTCCAAACATTTATTGAAAATTTACATTACAATGAGATGAACAAGGCACCAGATGAGAAGGTAATGACAATTTTACATATAATCATTCAGGTTCTTCAAAACAGAAGGATTGTTAACAGTACAGTATTCCCAGAGTTTAGTATCACACATTTCTATAAAGAACTATCCAAGCGCATGGTATACGCTAATGGGGCTCTAAAACGCCAGAACATCAGCACGTCAGGTATCGAAACTCACATATGAACTCTGTTGCTTCTAACCCACATGGGGTCTGATAACCGAGGTGGCCTTCATTTAATCCAAACTCCTATTTAATCAGAGAAACTGAGTAGGAAAGAGGGAGATATAGTAAAGATAAGAAAAAGGGAGAAAAAAAAAAAATTAGCAGCGGCTAGCCCCCCTGACCATCTTAGTTGGCCCCAGGACATATTCAGGTGGCTGTAGCCATCAAATGGTTTATCCAGGGGTCTCAGGTCTTTTCAAAAGAAGGCATCTTGTCCTGTAGTATTGCGGTAACGCGTTGATTGATCGTAATCCAGGATATTTTAGCCTTCAGGAGCTCGAAAGGTATCAAGAGATGTCCAAGCTCTCGCTATGGAGATTCTCGCTGCCACAAAAATGAATGCAATCAGGCATTGAGTGGGCCTTGGGGCTCTCTTCGCTGGGCAGCCTAATAACGCTTGGTGTGGAGACTTGGTCAGGTTTACACCGGTGAGTAAATTACAGATACGGATCCGGAATCTCCTAACTTCTGGGCACATACACCAAGCATGATAAACCATGCCCTCCTGACCACAGCCTCTGAAACAAAGGGAGGAAGCTTCCGGGACCCACCGGGTATATGGCCCGAGTATTTGTTAATGGACCTACAAAAGGTGTTCCATAGGCGTTGTAGTGGAGAGGTCCAACCTTCTACTCAGAGAACATACTGTATAAAGTGTGCAATCTGAGCATTACATTATTGTTCCGATTGGGGTAGATTGTATTTTCTCGGAGTTGCATGGACAAAACCCCTCGATGGTCATAGAAATCTTCTGTACGCAGGAAATCCTTGTTGGTCCACCACTGGAAATTCTGGGGTGTTAGACCAGGGGTGAATTCAGGATTCTCCAGCAATGGAGCCAGCCAGTGGAGTATGGGCAGATCTGAATGTGTTTTGTGGCTAGTCTGTCCCATAGGCCAATCAAAAAGGATGGTGTGGGGTAAAGAATCGCAGGTCTGTTCTTGGCCTGCATCCACAATAAGTGGCTGATCGGTCTCATGGATGTGATAGAGGATTCTATGTTCATCCATTTGGGACAGCTCTGCTGGGTATGGAATCTAATTAGTGGAGCCAATTGGGCTGCCTTATAATATTTAATTAGGTCCGGTATCCCAGGCCTCCCCTCAATCTGGGAGCATATAGCGTAGTTTTATTCACCCTAGGTCTTTTGTCACCCCAGATATAGATCATCAGTTTTTGTTGAAATTTCCTAAGATCTAATAAGTTCATGGACATCGGTAGGGATCGAAAGACGTAAAGGAGACATGGCAAGACGTTCACCTTAAGAGAGTGCAGCCTACCGAACCAGGAAGGGGGGGGGTTCTGGGTCCACCTAGTCATTGGTAAGTTATTTATACACTGGTGGGTAGTACTTTTGATATAGGATTTGTAGAGTTGGGGTCATATTAATGCCTAAATATGGGAGGGGCTTGGACTTCCATTTAAATTAATATAAAAGTGGGTTTTCAAGGGCCTGGACCATAGAATGTTCCAGTAAAATATTCATAGCTTGTGACTTGTTGTGGTTTACCTTTAGACCCAATATGGAGGAGAGGAGCTGTAGGTCTGTGTAAAGGATGTGATCAGGGAGGAGAGAATCAGCAAGATGTCATGTCAACTTAGGAGCAATCTCAGGGTTGCTCCTAAGTTTGATTGCTAGAGGTTCAAGAGCTAAAATGGATAGCATAGGCAACAAAAAGGGCATACATGTAGAGTACCTCATCCGATAGCTATTCCTGGAGAGCCATAACCCTTCACAAGATTAGCTGTAGGTTTAAGGTAAAGTGTCTGCAACAGGGTCAAAAAATGCGTCCCAAAGTCATATTTGTAAACAGTGAAGAAATTATATTCCCAGGAAAGGGAATCAAAGGCTTTATGCAAGTCTAAGGATAAGAGCATGCCTCGTCTTTGGCCCAGTTTGTCCCAGTCTGAATGTAACACTGAGATGATCCGGGACCTGTTGTAGAGGGACAAAGCTAACCTGGTCAGGGTGTATATTCTTATTCAGGAAGGAGTTTAATCTGTTGGCCAATATTTTCATCATGATTTTAAGGTCAACATTCATAGGCGAGATGGGTAGTTGGCGCAGTCCCCATGATCCTTACCCAGCTTGGGAAGGACATGAATAGTCGCATGATTTTTCATGTGGGGGTAGTTTGCCATCCTGAACCAAAAAGGTAGAATGCGCATAAATGGGGTGTTATGGTCTCAATATATTTTTTGTAATAGTGGCCTGAGAAGCCGTCGGGCCCTGGCGCTTTAGATGGGTTAAGGGCATTAGTCTCCACAATGACCTTGTTCTTTATGAATTCAGCACTTGTTAATCTAAGTGCCCCTTCATTTATTAGTATATTTTGTTACACTATAATGGTTCTTCCTTTCTGTTTCATATGTAATCCTTGAGAGGTGCTGGTGGTTATCTGTTATTGTGTATTTATTTCTAATACAAGAGCCTTGAGCTCACTGATTTAAATGGTCGTTTCAATCTGGAGAGTTCTTTTGCATGTGGGGGGGGGGGGGGGGGGGGGGCATGGATAGAAGAAACACCAGATTTAATTATATACTGGGTTTGGATCACAAAAGGATTTTCCTTTATAGACTGGGGAAAACAAGGGAGGGTTATGTGAAATAAATGTTAATCTCTGCATATACTCCATTTTGTATGATTTGCCTATATTTTGCTCACAGCACTAATGTTTTGCCATTGATGAACTTGTGTACAACCAGTCTGTTGGGCTTTTCCCAAACAATTAGCACCATTAGCAATACCCAGCAACACTAAGATGCGGTGGCTGCATTTGTTTTTTTTAGGATTTCTTCCCTCTGGTGTTCAGGCCAGTAGCACATCACCTATATTAGAGTGCCACCACTTTGTATGATAGGGTACAAGGGCACCTTTGGACAGCAGCAGTGTCAACCTGGGGGAAGGGGAGTGTTAGATGTGCTAGAAGATTTAGATACACTAACAAACTGAAACCAAACAAACTCACACTGCAGTTACAGCAACAGTTTTTTTCTTTTGGTATATAGGTTTTACATAAAGAAAGCCGATCATTTTAACCCCCTCCTAGACCTTTAAGAGGTTCTAAATGCCAGGAAGTGAGCATTCCGATCATGTGACTGCCAATCACAAGCAAGGAATTGGAAGCTTTTAGGTACCCGGCCGGTAACTGTGCTGGGAGCGTATGATCTCAACGAAATGTTTACATTTGGGAAGCATATATGTGGCCTCTAGTCGTTAAACCAAACCTGCCAAGAGGCCGCATATATGAGTACTGCTGGCAGAAACATGTTAAGCATCCGTCAGTGGTAAATGTTTTGTTTCAGCACTCTGCCACGTGTGCAGGAGAGCTTGTTCTGTTGAAAAACAACAAACTTCTGGCTGGATCACCTGATGAAAATAGAAAAAAAGCCTAAAGAAGGAAACTAATGCAGCCATCATCACATAAGAATTGCTAAGCTGCAATGCATTAAAGGTTTGCTTTTGGGTTTCATACCACGTTAACATCAGACTAAGGCTAGGTTCACACCTATGCAGTTTACGTTTGAGACGTTTCTGCAGTGCTTTTTGCTGTGTGTTTTACACGTGTTTTTGCGTGAGTTTTTGTGCAAATTGTCGCTGGGGCAGATTAAAATGCATTAAAAATTCACCACATGCTTTTCTGTAGCATCTCCACTGAAGTCTATAGAACAAAAAAATTTTAAGTTTTGCGTTTAAAAAAAGTCCCCGACCCTTTCCAAAAAACGCACTGAGTGAAAACGCAGAGATGTGAACCTGTCCCATAGGAAATCATGTTAAATGGACTGCTGTGCGTTTCTGCAAAATGCAGAAGAACACACATAGGCGTGAACCTAGACTAAGAGAAGGTGCTGTTATACCACAACTTCCGCAATACTTAATATAGCCCAGATAGCATAAATAAAAATTATATTTCCTAAAAAAAAAAAATATAAGGGTCTAAAATTAATTTGCTGTATGGTTCATGACTTGAGAGCAACAAACAAAATTATAGATAATGATACACCCATCCTGCCAAACCCACACACCTTTTTAGGACCTGGCTAATCTGGATAACATTTTTTATGTTCCTCTACATCCAGATTGTTAGTACTTTTTGCTCTTACTTTTCAACGTAAGCAGTATCCGTCACCTCCCCTTCTAAGTACAGTGGTAACTCCAAGGAAATTTGGGATCAATGGACACCTCAGCATGAACAAAATGATTGATAGGTTATGTGTAACATCAGGAAAAAATGTATGATGGAAAAAGAGGGCTTGCTGTGCCATCGAGCTAAAATAGAACAAGCAAAGAGAAATTATAATAATGCCAGGAAAGGTTGTCAAAAGGTGCAATACACCTTACTGAAGACAAGGTAAAAAGTAATAAAAAATATCCTAGAAAAAAAAAAAAAAATTTGAAAGACCACTCACAGCTTTTCTGAGTCTGGTGGGATATTGTACGGAATGTATCCCAAAAATTGATGGGTCCTTTGTAAGCTGCCACACATGTCTGCATATCAAGTTTGGTGATGAAAATTAGGGATGCACTGAAATTTCAGCGGCTGAAAAACTACCTCTATTGGCCTTTGGCCAACATGAAAATAGGCACCGATACA